TAGTGGGACTGTGTTGTCCTGTGAGCAAAAGGGAGAAAAAGGTTTTTCTTCCCTGCGTTGCTATCTGCTAACGCATTCTAATTGATGCTGCTGCATTCCTCCACTGGATGCATTCAGTGAATAACGAGCCTTGGACTGAATACCCATGAATTGGTCCCCACCAAGCAAAGCAGTAAAGCCTTTGCCCCCCAGCCCTCCCTTAACCTCCCACACCGCACCATCCAACCACTACCAGAGCAACCACCTCCCCCCAAACCTTCCCCAAATCTCCATACTCTAGCTTTACCGCCCATAAAGCACACTATTGTGCAGTAGAGTGCAAGTCCGACGAAAGCTACAAGTACTCTCTGGCCTCCAAAAGCTGAATCCATCACACAGACTGCGAGTGACGACCTCCCCCTTCACCACCAAAACGCCAGACCGTGTCCCCAAAAATAATCCTCTCCCGAAAACTTCTCAGTAACTTCCCCCACCACCCTCTCTCCTCTTTCTCCTTTCCCTCTCTCGCTCTCTCCAGCCCCAGCGCACAAAGCATCAATCTGTCTTCAGCCCCAGCACCCTTGGCCCTTTGTCCCATCTGCAGGTGCCTCTGAAAGCACCCACGGTCGCCCCAGCCTCTGCGCACGCCACGCCTAGTCCAGGGACAGGAACTGCTGACAAAGGCCCAGTGTGGGAATGAGGGATGCGTGGAGGGAGGGAAGGGGGTGTCGAGGGGGGCTGCTCTAAGACAGATGGCTGGGGAAGTCTACCAACTCCTCCACAGGGGCTGTCAGTTTAAATTCAGAACTACGAATGAGACACACGAGGGAAGAACCAGTAAAGGAATGCCCACTAAATTCAGCAGCTACTGTACACTTTACTAAAGACCAGCACATAGAACCAGCAGAACTCTCTGGACATCAAATACAGCCGTCTGATATAATTCAAATGCTGAAAAACAAATTATTAAAAAAAAAAAAAAAACACTCTTACCATGATTAAAAACACCTTATATGTTTATCCTCCACTCAATATATTCTCAATAAATATTGAGTTTCTGAAACAGTTTTAGTTCTATTAGATTAAATCATTACAGATTGTCATTACCCATTGAGTCTTGCTTTCACTTTAAAATAAAATTTAAATTTTTATACAATTGCCATGTAACACTTATTCTATTTATATTATTAGCACACAGCTGACCGTACTGAAATACTTTAGGACATACAGTACATATATCTTTTGTTTTGTCATTATTTTTTAACATCTATGAAACTTTTTTGTTGCGTATTTTATGTGGTGTCTTGTGATGTTTTTGTATTCTGCATTCACTTAAGGATTTGAATACTAATATCTTACCAAATGCAACTTTTGAAAGACGTGTGTTGATGTCTAACAGTAACAGTTTCAGTCTTGAACAGCACTTACAAAAACTAAATGGAATTAAATTAAATATTTGACTGCAGTATTAAATAAAGTATAAAAAGCATTTATGAAAAGGTAACTTGAGACAAACTGTAATCAGCTCTACAGCCTTGCTCCACTTTTCTTTCCTCAGTGCAACAAGTTTGTTACATCTCATTGATATTACTGGGCTGCCACCATGTGGACATACATTGAATTACAGCGACCAGTTGATAGATGGCTGTCTGCACCTTTAATATGCTTACAGTAGTGAATCAAAGTAAATCACCAAGTAGCATGAATAGATCACTGCTTTCTGGCAATATTTGACCATGTGGTAATCATAAATCTCTTTATATGTTTAAAAAAAAAAATGTATTGATTGTGTCATTCTTTGACTGTAATGCAAGGCCAGCTCAAGATTTACAATGTAGATGAATGTAACAATGATAACTTCACAGGTATGAAACCCATTCCCTCTGGCTGAAGAAATTGTAGTGCTTTTTTGGAGTGTTTGTCATTTTAGCTCAAGATCAGTGACATCCTACTACTACTTTTTTTTTAAAAGTCCTGTAGAATAGAAGTTGACACAATAATAATAATAGCACAAGTGGCTGTGGCTGAAAGAGACCCTCCAAGGAGAGGAATGACCAAAAGCTTGAGAACAGCTATGGAGATTGTGGTGAGATTATTTTCTCAACCTGAATTCTATTATAATAAATGAAGTTTAAGTCTGGGCCTGTATACTAGAAGTTTGTAATATGCTGATCCCATAGTATATACTGTGTACGGTATATATCTTAATGCTGTAGAGTTCTGCAGATTGCCTTACCCTGTGTGAAACCCAGTCCTCTCAGCTGACTCAGTGCTTCGACCTTTCTGTTAAGGACCGAGGAAAAGAGACCATTATTCTCCAAATTCAACAGTGAATGAAACATGTCTTCATTTGGCCACATGGTGGCGATAGAGTCTAACTTTGGCAATGGCGTGACAGACACTTCCTCATTATGCAATCATCACATTTCTCTGCCTGCTTTTTTTTCTCTGCTTTCATTGGTCCATTATAATATTGACACTATAAAAATAAGTTCCTCATCCTTTCTTCTGAAACAGGTTTTAGAGCAAAAACATTACCTTAATGTACAAACTCTCTAAAACGGCCAGTTAATATTTTTGCATCTTGATATACAACACACATAATGAATGTGCATATTGTAACCTCCACTTATTTTACACACACTTCAAAGTCAAAGTAAGATAAAACTAGCTACAGTTCAATGTGTACAATATGTGTTGACAGTGCTGTGACTTGGTTATTTAAGCTAGCTAAGTGGTTTCAGTCAAAATGTAAACATTTACACGGGTACTTAGCCTGTGTTGTATGTGTGTTCTCTGCACCACATCTGGAAAATACCTATTATATTACTCATGCTGATTACTTCCTGATTTGATTAATGTGCATTACATGACACACGTACTGAAACACAGTATGCAAACAGGGTGGTTCCTAAAAAGTCCCCTCCATTTAAAAATATGTTTTTCTTCTTGTTCATGCAGAATGATGTCTGTGCAGAGTTTGACACTAGAAGGATGTTTTTCACATTCATCTGCTGAAAGTGTAAAGTTTCTCTGTGCTCATTGAAAATCAAGTTTTTAAGAACAGGGCCTACGAGCATGATTCGTGACATCACAAATAGTTTGGTCCAGAATGCAACTTCTACAAGTGTGATACAGTGCACATACACTGAACATTAATAGATGTCTGGTAGTACTGCTAGCAGTCACTGAACCATATTTGATTTGTTAAAGTAAAAACCAGCAAAATCTTAATGAATGCTATTTAAATGTGACTCTTACTCTTACTTACTTTGTGACACTGATACTTTTAAGGTCAGTTGGTTTAACTTTGTAACTAATGTGCTCTTTTTTTTGGGTCAGGGCTGACAACATTTCCCACTAAACATAAAACACAAACTATGTGATGTTTCAGAACACAATTTCGCACACTGACACACAAAATCACGGTGAACTCAGCTCACTTAGCTGGTGCGCTGATCTGATCTGATCTGAAATGTATATGTGCATTTTGGAGCCATGTAACTACACTTCCTCAGTTGATCTGCTTGTTGTCAAAGTGACCACATTTCATTTCTAGCAAGGATGTCACCGAGGCAAAAATGCAAATCATGTGCCGCATGCAAATAACTGCTAAGGTCACTCATGCTATGACTACATACAAATACAAATGTGCTTCTGATAATCTCAGGTGTCAGATTTCTGTTTGTGACCCACATGCTTTAATGCTATAATATAATATAAATATAAATATATAAATCAGAATTCCCCTTTAGTTTTTCAGAACGTCACAGAGCGGTTCTGCATTCCTAAAGGTGACATAATATCTATAACTTTTGCATCTAAATCTTTAACATTGCATGTTTTGTTCTTTCTGTGTGATCTTTGATAATGCAGACCAAGAACTAAGACATTGTTAACTTCAGATCTTGAGGGCATTGTTCTAGTTCCTTGTTCCACAGGATTGCAGCTTACTCTGCATTTCTTTGCTTCAATTTGAGCCACAAGAGCGGACATTTTCACTACATCTGCACATTATACCCGACACAAATACAATATTTTTCTTTAAACCAAATTAATCCAAAATCAGAATTGAAACTTTTCAGTCTCGCTTACTTCACAACAAAAAAAGCTGACTGGACATAATCGTTTAAGTCCCAAAACTAATCTACATAAACGTATACTTATGCAATGATATACAAATTTCCCTTTACTGACCTTTAATGATTTACTTTAATGCAGTTGCACAACTTGGCTATTGGTGAGTAATTTTGCTGTTAATGTTATTTGCTTATTTTTGTACCTTTGCCCTAAAAACTTCTCTATAAAGATCCCGTTGCAGCTGTTAAACCTGAGAGCACAAAACACTTCTCACATTCAGATGCAAATAATTTAAAATCAAGACATTTATAATCACAATTATTATTTCTTATACAATATTTATCGATTTTCAGAGCACCTCCTTCAAAACAGGTAGTCACACCCACTTGATAATAACAATAATAAAGTATTTCTGATTCACGTTAGCATATGTGCAGAAGGTATCACTTCCTAATATAGCAAAAAGATGTCATGACATAATCTGAGTGGACCCGCTAATTTCATTATTATTAATACTGAGGAATAATTATAGGCTAGTGATATGTCTACACGCTGCAGTGTAATACAAGTTCATTCAATACCAAATGTATTGTTGGTAATATGGTTGTAATAGTTAGGCCTATTTATAAAAGACTCGATCTACCTGTTGTATTTTTTAATTTAATTTAATTTGCATTTCAGTTATTTATTATTTATTATCCTTATTATGCATCATTCTAGTAAAAGAGTCACTCTGGAAAATCCCTTCTGCATCGCCTGTAAACATAAGAAGTGTGCTCTTTGATCCTTGAAGTGCACAAAACTCACAAACTGCCTCCTCTCTCAGGCTAATCTCTCCATGGGGGNNGGGGGGGGGGGAATAGATTGTAGTTCAAACGTTAAAACCACGTTACCCACAATACAGTGCGGCAAAAGTCGCCGCACCTTCACCGGGTGGAGCTTGTGAACGTGGGAACGTTTGTGGGTTGCTACTGGAGTAAAAAAAAAAAAAATTTGTTTGACAGGGAGGTGAGGAGACCTGGCACACGGGGATCGGAGAGAGAAGTTAAGTTCTTAGTGTGTCTGTGGCAGTTTCCGAGTCAACGGGGAGGCTGACTTGAGAGCGACAAATGATCCGTACGAGTCTAAGCAACAGGGCACGGAGCGATGTGTCAGGGACTGTTTCAGCCTTGAGCAGAGGAAAGCGCGACTAGTACACCGCAACGCGGAAAATATTGAAGGGGGGTGAGAATGCGAATGGTGCGAAGATACCGAAATCAAACAAAATGGAAACGATGTAGCGTCGCTGCGGCATTTCATATAGCTAGAACTAACGTTAGAGTAGAGAACAGATAGCTAAAGGAGCTAGCAGGTTAACTAACATACATGTAAAGTTATTCCCCGGAGAAGCTGAAAGCAGAGCCCGGAGGCGTCTGTTGAATCGGAAGAGTTCATCAGTACTGCGAAATACAAGAAGACAGACGAGAAGATGCTACGGAGAAGGCTGAACCGTTTGGTATGTGTGCCTGTGGCCAGGTGCATCAACACACACAAACACACACACACACAACATCACACTACACACACACAACACAGACACACAACACCACACACACACACACACACACACACACAGACGGACACACACACACACATTGTTAGCTTATGACATCCTGCTGCTCCTGCTAGCGTTTAACTGCTGTGATTCTGCCCTGGAAGAATGTACGCTGACATTCCCAGTCACTTCCTTCTGCCATGTTTCTTTTTTCCTCCCCCCTCTTTTTGCTGTAAATGCGAGTTACATGAGAGCAAACTGCTACTTCCCACTGCCTGACGACACCAAACAGCTGTTGTGCCACTTCATTGGTCAGCCAGTTTAGCTAACTGCTAGGTAAGTTCTCATCAGCCGGGGAAGTCACGACAGATGAGAGTTTGATGTTAACTCCACTTCCAGGTCACATACACGGGGGTCGGTTGTGTTACATGCTCGCTTTCCACCATCTCACCTTCACCTTCACCGAGTATACAGGGGAAACTGTGTCTCACCTGTGTGTGTGTGTGGAACAGAGAGAGAGCAGGTACCTGTCCGGAAGAGAGGTGGGTTGCTCTTCTCTGGGGCCCCAAATGCTAAACATAATGAGTTATATTATATTGTATTTAAAATCTGACAGTGGAGCCATCTAATAAGCCAAAATGCTAAATATATAACTGGTTCTAGGTTTGTGTTTTTATGTAGAATATGGAGTTTGGACCATTGCTTGGACAAACTAAGGCATTTAAAGACTCTAATTACTGGTGATGGATATTTTATACAGTTTTCTGACTTAAAGATTAAACAATTGATTGGTTAATAGAAATATATTCCGCAGTTTACTTGTTATGCAGGAGGCATAATCATTATCCAATTGTGCCACAGTCCCATTATGCTTTAGTGTTTCTTTGTACCCAGCCACTGGATTTATTTCAATATATGAAGTTGGTATTTTGCCAGCATTAACATCATATTTCACGATTGGTCAATTTAATGCATACCCTTTTAAAGTTCATCCACTGGTTTCACTGCCTTCTCATACGTTAATCATTCACAAGTGGGCTAGTTGAAAGTGGAGTAACTATCCGCAAGGCCAGGTTTATAATGCTAAACCGCCTTTACTGCCTCTTTATCATCCTCTTATGCACCAGTAACCTGTTGTCACCAGTGTGTTGAATCCCCCAAAGGCTATGTGAGCAGTATAGATACCGACAGTGAATAAGGGGAAGCAATATAATAATTATAGTGCCTGACCCTCCTCCTGGCCTCTCTCTAAGTGTTGCCAGGTCAGCTGATTTTCCCGCTTCTGGAGAGGATTGCTGCTGTAATTTCTCTTCAGTGTGAGCTGTAAATAATATTTTGTGCGGAGCAGCCAGCCATACTGTCATTGATGCACACGTTGCCGTTATCTCAGGCTCTGGCTCTGTGCCTCCGGATTCACACCGCGCTCCCCTTGCCCACGGGAGGTACATGTGCATCGTGAAGCGGGAGAAAGATAGGGCGGTGGGGGGAGGCGGTGGGGGGCTTATACCAAAAGGCACTGAGGAGCTTCATGTGTCTCCCTTGACTCTCCCACTGTGGCGCACTGTGCCACTAAACCTCGAGTGTGTCTTAGGAAAATCATTAAAGATGGCTGTGGGAACGAGTGGGCCTGGGCTTTTTTTTTTTCCGTCGGGGGGGAAGCTCCAGAGGTTGTAATGCTCTGACAGGAATGCAGAATCACACAGTTGCCTTTGATGTTCGTTCAAGCCCTTGAAGGCAGCAGTGTGATCTGTGAGAGGTGGAGCCTGGCGGAAATGTGATAGTATTCATTGTGGGAGCTCCTGCCTTTTACTGCAAGAAGAACAGCACCGACACATGAAAACACCGTCACCCAGGCAGCACATCAGTATCTTCTTTTGCACCATGGTAACCAGTAGGCCTCCTCCTACTCACTAGCTCGGTTGAAGTCACACGTGTGAAGTTTATGATTCATATTTTGATGGAGCCCAGTTAGAGGGACGGAGCTCGACAGGTGCTCTTACCTTGTGCACAGAGGCAGGACACAAATGGATCGCTCTCATGTTCTCATTCTAGTCTAGTCATTCCAGTTTCTCAATTGTGAGGATCTGCTGCTTTTTTTTGTAGGTAATCATAAACCGAATATCTTTGGAGTTTCTTTTCTATACGAACTGATAAATCTATAAAATAATTGGCAGATTAATTAATAATGGAACTTGTTATTGTTAGTTGCTGGCAGCACTAGAAAATAAGTTTAATGGTTGTAATTCATGTTTCCTGTGTAAAGCCAAGGTTGATTTTAATTCAGCATCATACACCAAGAAGAAGGATTGCATTTTAATGGCCCGTCTCTTGGGGTTATTTATGCACAAGCTGTAGACCGCTTATATATTGTAATATCTTTTGTCTGAGTAGCATGTTAAAATACCATGTGAAAATGTACTCCAACCACAGCCTCGTGGGAGATCTGAGTCTACTACAGGTTTACATTTTGATTCATAAGCACTCCAGTGATGTCATGACATTCACACAACTCATTTAACATACTCTTTTGATGCTGTGAGTGTTTTTCTTGTGGCTTGTTATAGCTTTGAAGCACATACGTCTGCTTAGGGTACACCGCCACTCTGGTCCTCTTCCTTCTCAGTAGGGCTTCCCCCTCACCATTCTTCCCTCCAGTCTCAGATCTGTCTCTACTTGAATGTGACCCAGGCAGTAGTCAGCAGGCCCTAGATGTTGTTATGCGTGAAGTATTGCATGTCACATGCTTTGGGAAGCACTGGGTCTCTGTAAACCTGTTTCTCAGGTTAGGTAAATATAGCTGAGATGTACGCACAACTAAGCGCAAACAAGGTTGACATGCACACACCTGCACACACCTGCACATTAAGGTGATTTTGTGCAAACATCTTTTGCTAACATGAACACACAAGGTTAAATCATCACTTTCCCCAGGAGGGGAAGCTAATGTGTTGTTCAGCAGTAAAAGAGGATGTTTTCTTACCTGCTGCAGTACAGTAGAGTACTTCCATCTGACCTGCATGTATTGGGGTAATGAGTCAAATTTCCAGCTCTGCTAGTATTCAGCAATGTCAAATGTAGCTTGTGCTTTTTTCAATACTGTATTTTGGTTTTGCTGCATTGCCTCCTGTGCTTCAGAATGCTCCAAATATCTTATCTGTTTTGCATTCAGGTCAGTCTTGCTTTTATAAACTCACATCTAGTAGCACCTGTTGGGAAGATATTAGGGGCTTTTATTAACTGATGAGATACAAGAGTCCTCGAACAGAGTTGACACTTTGGAGATTAGTACATCTAACGGCCACAGGCCATACAAGGCACTCAGGGCCATTTGATTTACCAGGTCTGTTTGATTAGGAGAGATGTGTATTGATTAGAGCCATGCTCAGTTTTGCCGCCATTAGTCTTGCAACGCGAACCGGCTGGCGAACAGAATTGCTTAGTCTGACTTCTTTCTCTTCCTTCCTCTCTCTCCGTCTGGTCTCCTGCATTCTGCCCAGTAATGGAAACCCAGCCAAAGGAGCTCATCTGCAACACACAGCAGGATAATAAATATATTTAGTGTGGGGAGGGAGGCAGTGTGAAGGAATAAACGGCGGGCTGTGTGATAGTGGGCTGATGAAATGTAGTGGGGAAATACGGAAAGCCCTGCGTGACTAAAACCCGAGAAACTGGAGTGAAACCGGGGGTGGACCTGTAGCCTCTTTGCACCTCTCCATCTCTTTCTCCACCTAATGGACAGACTCTTTCAGGCTTCCTGTAGTGGTTAACATTGGAGTGGGTGGGTCAGGTTGGATACAAGGGGGCTATGGATGGCTTTTTGTGGCAATTTTCCACTTCCTTTTAAAAGCTAGGTTGAATTCTCAGTTTGTACCTCTAAATAATTCATGTTGCTTCATTTATTTTGAATTCTCCTCTCATCGCTCCTCCCTCTCCTGACCCACGTATCCTCGCCAGGCTAGCGGCACTCAGGATGCATCCTCATCATCCATATATGTATAAAGGCTCATCCAGAGATTTTCTGTGCCATGCTCCAGCTCTAGCATTACCCAGAGAGCATTTGCAGTGAGATGTGAAGAGAATGCTGAGATGTGTGTGTG